TGTTTCAGAGGGCGAATCCATCCAACTTGATCAACCATTAACGAGTAATCCTAATGTGGGTGGATTTGGTCAGGGGGATGCGGAAATAGTACTTCAAGATCCATTACGTGTCCAGGGTCTTTTGCTATTCTTGGCATCTGTTATTTTGGCACAAATCTTTTTGGTTCTTAAAAAGAAACAGTTTGAGAAGGTTCAATTGTCCGAAATGAATTTCTAGATCCGCGGATTTATCAACATCAAGCTCTAAAAATAAACAAATTTTTGTTGGCAATTATGTTATGTAATTATGTATAATCAAAAAATTTTTGCTTGTTTATATTCTTTCTTCTACCGGATTTCGGGAATTACTTATACCGCATTACTGGTCATAGTATATTGTGAAGAAGACTATTTGATTTTACTTAACTCTTATTTATCTTTTGTTTTTTCAATCCAAATTCAAACGGTATGATATAGAACGAATCAATAGTTTTATATTTGAATAGAATCAAAACAAAAGATAAATAAGCGGAGAATATAAACCAAAGTATAAATGAGAGGAACAAAGGATTTTAGGGGGGATTGTTCGTCTACTAGTCCTTGACACAAGAAACGGAATTTTCCACAACCCTTTCTTGTGTCGAATTAATAATGATTCTCGATCCCGCTCGTAAAAAATTTCTATTTTTAGTTTAAATTTTTTTATAGGTTTATCATAATCTTTTTTAGATTTATTACGTAAATAGTGGTAGTGGACAAACAAAAATAAATATAGGTAAGTTTATTGAGCAAATATAACTTCTTCAATTTCAAAAAAAAAAATTTTAACTTTTATTAGATTAAATATTTGTTAGATTAAATAGAGTAAGGTTCTATGCTATTAGATAGAAATATATAGTATATATAATTGTGAGTCATCCAAAAAGAGTAAATAGAGTGATTCCTTCTTCGTTTTAAGTATTGACAGATACTATTGAGTAACAGATGTCCTGAATCCCTTAACGAAGTTAATTTTTCAAAAACATTATCAGAAAAAGTGGAGGTTTTTGAAACATCTATAAAAAAAAATATTATGATTATTAAGAACTCAACGGGACCTACCCCCTCTTTCCTTGTCTGATTCGAGGGGGATCCCGTTGAGTTCTTATGCTTTCATGTCTACAACTCAGTTCATCCGATTATTACAAGGATGAACCTAATCCAGAATAGGAACCATAAAAGAAAATACCGATTAAACCGATCACAAGAATACCCGCTACAGTACCTATTATCCAAAGAGGAATCCTTCCAGTAGTATCGGCCATTTGTCCTACTTTCCTCCACATTTTATCAAGTGGTCATGCTCGAGACATAAACAGCCATAGATAATTATGAGATGATATCTTTCCGAATGGGATAAGAGAATTCTTATATTCTTTTTTTTTAATTAAAGAAATAATTGGAAAATAAAACAGCAAGTACAAAAATAAGTAATAACCCCCAGTAGAGACTGGTACGATTCAATTCAACACTTTGTTCGTTCGGGTTTGATTGTGTCATAGCTCTATGATTCGGATTAGGTTTATCGTTGGATGAACTGCATTGCTGATATTGACCCTAAAAAAAAAACGGTAGGTACAGCTAGTCCGTGAACAGCCAACCATCGCACTGTAAAAATTGGATAGGTTCTATCTATAGTCATTGGGGCCTCCTAAAAAGATCTACTAAATTCATCGAGTTGTTCCAAAGGATCAAAACGGCCAGTTATTAATGGAATTCCTTGTCGGCTTTCTGTAAAATACTCGTTTGGACGAGGGCTTCCAAATACATCGTAAGCTAAACCCGTGCTGACGAATAACCAACCCGCAATAAATAAGGAAGGTATAGTAATGCTATGAATGACCCAGTATCGAATACTGGTAATAATATCAGCAAAAGAACGTTCTCCTGTGCTTCCAGACATGTTGAGCTCCGCATATTCTTGTACAGTCAGGGGGGGGGGTCGATTCCGTAAAAGATGAAATCAGTAAATGGAAATTAACTGAAATAAAATCTTTGTGAGATCGTCAATATTGTACCAAGGGTGTCTTTAGAGTATACCGAATCAGTATAGCTATCCTTCTTCTGACACAGCAATGCAATTTCACAATCAGTATCGAAATGAAGTGTTAGATAATTTCTTTCTTCTTTTCTTGTTGCTTGTCGATGTAGAATTTTGTACCATTTTGTACCATTTAATAGAAAATTCCTCAAATTCCTGTAGTATAAGGGTTTTCTTCATTATTGACTTCGGACTAGAAACTGAAGATCAGGTAAAATGTGAATCCGACGGGTTGGTTTCCAATAATTTATGAAGGAGATTGTCATATTCTCACGATTCAATTAGATGTTACATCTAAAAATATCCTTTTTGTGGTTGTATAAGATGTTTTTTGTTGGAATCCTTTTTTTTAGGAATCGGTTAGCCGCCCAGTAACAAGTAACAATAGTAGTTCAATAAAAGAAAGAGAACAACGAATAAATAAAAAAATAATCAATATTCGTGATGCACGCATTATTGTATTAGATATTAGACCCAAACAAAGGAAAAAGGGGGGTCCTTCTTGACCTAATTACAAGAGTGGGCTTTCTAATATGGAAAGAAAAAATGTAAAACCTAGTTTCGATTGATCTTATCATGCGATACTTTTTTTCTTTTCAATCGCAAGATTATGTGAATGAACTACTACTGAGTTCACTTTAAAGTAAAAAAAATAAAGTGCATTACAAGGGCACTTGTAGTTCGAAAAAAAAAAATGTATTCGATATTTCGATACAATAAAAAACGATCAAAATGATTTTCCAATTTTATTCCACAGTGATTAGTGATTCAAAGAAAGCTTAATTTTGTGAATAAAGTTATAAAAAAAAGTTCTTATTATTACTTTATTTATAATTTTAATTTAAATATTCTATATATATATACATGTATTAGTTATATGCATATATTAGTTTAGTCAACTCCAGAGTTGACCGATGAATCTGTTGATTCAAAAGTGCGACATGGGTAAATGTCACAAATGATGAATCGATTTCTTACTTATGTTACTCTATTTTTGTTAGTATCGTCTATAATAATAGATGAATCAAACATTTTCAATTGAATTTATTCTTTCAATTGGTTGGTATTTTTGCTTATCCTCGTATCTTTCAAAAATTGAAACTTAGGGAAGTGCTTTATAAACATATGTATAAAAAGAACATATTTCATTTAGCCTTTTCATGCCTACTATAACTAGTTATTTTGGTTTTCTACTAGCAGCTTTGACTATCACCTCAGCTCTATTTATCGGTCTGAGCAAGATACGACTTATTTGAAATTAATTAAATGAACATGAACAATTCATAAAAAAAATCTTTCTATGGCAGTTCATATCTTCTACAGTTACTTAACGTATCAATTTCCAATTCTTGGTCATTGAGATTTATAGTCAATACAGATTAATATTTAAGGATAAATATTACCTCCCCTTTCCCCTTTCAAACAAATTGAAATGATTGAAGTTTTTCTATTTGGAATCGTCTTAGGTCTAATTCCTATTACTTTGGCCGGATTATTCGTAACTGCATATTTACAATACAGACGTGGTGATCAGTTGGACCTTTGATTAATTAACATCTCTTTTTTGATTGACCTCCTACTTCCTTTAATCCACGGGAGGTCAAATTTAGATTGCTGTTCAATTATTTAAGTGTAATTTTCGACCTAACGCGATTAACAAGAACACAGAATCACGCTCTGTAGGATTTGAACCTACGACATCGGGTTTTGGAGACCCACGTTCTACCGAACTGAACTAAGAGCGCCTTATTATCATTATTACATTATCACAATAAAGATTTTGTGACCCCAATTCATCTTGCATATATATCATAAAATTAAAGATTTATTATGTATGTCCAATTTATCTCAATTGATCCCTCGTTACTGCTCATAGGATAAGTAATAGGTAGGGATGACAGGATTTGAACCCGTGACATTTTGTACCCAAAACAAACGCGCTACCAAGCTGCGCTACATCCCTTTCAATTGGTCTACAGTGTCATTGTAGAGAATCCCTGTCTTGTTTTCCACATCTTTACTTCCTCCATTGATATACAAAAATTCTCTTTTCATTTCTTCTTTTTGGTCTCATATATCATATAACAAACATATAATATATTAAAAGACTTATATTATATAAAGTATGAAATAAATATGAAACCTACCATAAAAAATTAATATTTTTAGTAATTTCAGGTAGAAATATCTATTTTGTACATTTTAATTTTAATTAGGGACTCCGCGTACAAATACAGGCGGTCAGTCATTAACTACATATACACATCTGGTCATATATGTATTACCATTATGTATTACAAATTACAATAAAATTACAATAACGAATAAAGAAAGAGGAGTTTTTAAAATGCGAGATCTAAAAACATATCTCTCCGTGGCACCGGTAGTAAGTGCTTTATGGTTCGGGTCTTTGGCAGGTTTATTGATAGAGATCAATCGTTTTTTTCCGGATGCGTTGATATTCCCCTTTTTTTCATTTTAGTTATTGATATGAGAAGGGGGAAGAAGATTAGAGATACAATCAAATCTCTGTAACTAATCCCTACCCTTGCCTTCTTTTTTTCTTTGTTTTTTTTTTAGAATAAGTTATTCTAAAAAAAAAACAAAGAAAAAGCGGTTTCGCCCTCAGTGAAACTATGAACTCGGGCCCAGGCTCAAATTAAATTAATATTAATAATAGAGTGGAAATAAAAATGTGATGGTTGGGGCAACAATATCATACAAGATACTTAACTGAAAATACTGTACGGCAATTCTTAATTATAAATATAGTTAGAAATCATTATATTACTTATTATTACTATATTGATTTCAACGAAATCTTTCTTTTATAATTTGATTTCGAGTTACCTGCTTCTATTTTTTTTTTTTGTCCTTTATTCTTCCTTGCTTCGGATCGGAAAATTAAAGAATTGAGTGAATCATAAACCAAAGGAGGTTCATGGCCAAGGGTAAAGATGTCCGAGTAACCGTTATTTTGGAATGTACCAGTTGTCTTCGAAATCGTGTTAATAAGGAATCAAGGGGCATTTCCAGATATATTACTCAAAAGAATCGACACAATACGCCCGGTCGATTGGAATTGAGAAAATTCTGTCCCTGTTGTTACAAACATACGATTCATGGGGAGATAAAGAAATAGATCGAACCGACCGCTCGTGTGTCAGTCTTCCAAGGAAGATGAAAAATTACATATTATATATAACATATATTTATTTAAATATAAACAAACCCAATCCTATTTCGATCGGATCAAACATGATGTAGAATTAAGAAATAGGATTGGGATTTTCAGGATAAGGAATAAACAAACCATGGATAAATCCAAGCGAATCCTTCTTAAATCCAAGCGATCTTTTCGTAGGCGTTTGCCTCCGATCCAATCGGGGGATCGAATTGATTATAGAAACATGAGTTTAATTAGTCGATTTATTAGCGAACAAGGAAAAATATTATCTAGACGGGTAAATAGGTTGACCTTAAAACAACAACGATTAATTACTATTGCTATAAAACAAGCTCGTATTTTATCTCTGTTACCTTTTCTTAATAATGAGAAACAATTTGAAAGAAGCGAGTCAACTCGTAAGAAAAAAAAAAAAATTGGAGAAGAATAAATATTTTTTATTGAACGTGTTTCTTCATTTTGATGACTTTATCATATTTTATCATACTAATTTCTACTCTACCTTCCCAGAGTTCATTCTCCAGGGAACTCCATTTAAACTATTCCAACGGATTCCTTCCAATCTCTTTATTTTATGATCTCATTGGAAATCATATAAAGACAACTCTTATTTAATATAGCTATTTGTGCAAGTATTTTACGATTAAGAAGCAACTGTCTCTTGTACAGATTGTGTATTAATTTGCTATAACTAAAGTATACTTTATTCTCGCGAATTACTGCATTTATCCGAGTGATCCACAAACGACGAAAATCTCTCTTTTGTCTACCTCTATCCCGATGAGCCGAAACCAAGGCTCTTATTTTCTGTTGAGTAATAGTACGAGTAAGTCTTGAATGAGCCCCTCGAAAGGTTGATGCAAATAAACGGATTTTTGTTCTACGTCTTCGAGCTATATACCCTCGTTTAATTCTGGTCATTGAATAAATGAAACTTTGATGAATAACTAATCGATTTCCTTTCTTTCAGTTATTCTCTTCCCGTGTCCTAGTCTATTAATAACAAAACGGATTCTTCCAATGTATAAAATAAAAATTCCAATGGCTTTTGCTATTATAACCTTCCCGACCACGATTTTTTCTTTTTTTCTAGGCATTTCACCTATAAAAAAAAATTGTATTGATACTAGAAAAACACATAGTAAATAAAAAAGTAATAAATATAAATGGATATAGTGGGTTCCATCGTTTCTATGGTTACTTCTTAAACGGTGAGGTCTTCTCTATACACCGGAGCCCTTCTTTCTTTCATTTAATCAATGTTATTGTTAACTTGTACAGTTCAAACTCTTTGGCTCTACCCAAAATTATCCAGTACTAGGTCTTTCACAACGAGATCCACTTATACAGTAACGGTATTTAATTATGAAGATTAGCTGGGTAGCTGACCCTGTTAGTCCGTTCTTGCAAGAGTAAGGCAAAATTTTTCTGCTTTTTAAAATAGGATTTCCCCTGCTTAATGGATACCATTTGCTATCAATGGAGAATTCTTTCTCATCTTAAATTTAAAATTTTTAAATTGAGGTGATTGGATTTGCACCAACGGAAACCATACATTTGATACCATAATAGAAGAGAAGGATAGATCTTTTTTATTTTTAGATATTGACTGGAGTTCTTCCATTCTATCCTATTCACTGGTACTGATCGTTGATACTGGATCAATTGTTTTCTTTCTTTTGTCCTAGCCCATGATCTGAACGAGTCGCACATACACCCTAGTACATGTTCCTCGTCGTTGAGGACATCCCCCAAGAGCGGGGGATTTCGTGACATTTCTGATTGGCTGTCTTGTGTTTCTAATAAGTTGTTTAATAGTTGGCATGTTGAATCATATACATAATGGGCTGGTTTAGATCGATCTTAACCGGATGCTTATGAATTATTTTATTTCTATATTAATAGATTAATGAGATTAATTAATAGAATATTAAATAATAGAATATTAAATCCGGTAAGAAGATAAAATCTCAAATAACGAATTCGTGTGAAATCCTTGTTATTTTTTCTTTTTTATTCAGTCGCTACAAGATCAACAATTCCATGAGCTTGGGCTTCTATTGCTGACATAAAAACATCTCTTTCCATGTCTTCGGATACAACCCATAAGGGTTTGCCTGTCCTTTGTGCATAAACCCTTGCGAGGGTTTCGCGCAGCTTCAGTAGTTCTTCCGCTTCCAAGATAAATTCTCCCGTCTGTGCCTCATAAAAAGAGGCAGCAGGTTGGTGGATCATTACCCTGATGATATAACATAATAAATGTTTATTCTATCTCGCATAATGAAAGGTGAAGAGATAAAGAATAATAATAAAAAAAGATATAATTGAACAACCGTACAGGCATCTTCTTTTGCGCATTGCATACGGCTCTATAATGGAATTCACTTTTTTTTTTTACCTTACTTACACTTACATGGAAAAAATTTAAAATAAATAAATATAGGGTCTATCAGACTCAGGTTGGTAAATGATCCAATAACCACCCTTCTTTTTGGAGTAGTTCAAAAATACTATGATGGCTCCGTTGCTTTATATATTTATTTCGTTTGTTATTTAGCAATCCCAAAGTTTCTTTTTTTTATTTTCATATTTTTTCATAACATAAATATTGTTAAGATTAAGAGCTCCCGGTGTGAAAACAAAAAAGTTTGTGACGCTGAAATAGGACTCCCGATAGGTCGTATAAAATAGGAAATGCCTTTTATCTCATACTACTCTTTCGATACATAATTTAAGGGTAAAAAAAAAATTCTTATATCGAATTCGAAGTGCCATGCTATTATTACTTAATATTTATATTTCATATAGCGCGAAGGCATAGTCTTCTTTTTTCTCTCAAATCAAATAAAAAACTCATTGGCGCCAAGCGTGAGGGAATGCTAGACGTTTGGTAATTTCTCCTCCGACCAGAATAAAAGATCCCATTGAAGCGGCTAATCCCATGCATATTGTCTGTATATCTGGTCGCACAAATTGCATAGTATCATAAATAGCCACTCCGGGTATTACCCATCCGCCAGGAGAGTTTATAAACAAATAAAGATCTTTGGTATCATCCTCTATACTGAGATATACCATAAGACCAATAAGTTGATTCGAGATCTCGCTATCAACCCCTTGTCCTAAAAAAAGTAATCTTTCTCGATAAAGTCGGTTGATTGGGATAAAGTTGTATCCCTTAGAAACCGTACATGCACCTTTTGATGCATACGGTTCAACAAAAATCACGAAAAAAAAGAATCAATGTGTAAATGTAGATTCTAGCACTTTTTTTTCATAACAGGCTTTTAACTTATAAAAAAGGGGCTTTTCTTTCATTTTTCAAGAAGGGTGGTTTTTAGCCTGTTTTGTTTATCTATAAAAAAAATTTACTAAACTTATCTAACTAACTTCTCGTTGATGTATTGTTTCATCGAGATACAATCTAAATCGCGATGTAATTTTCTTGTTACTGAATGGGCTTCTTCAATTTTTTTTAGGTTTATGCTCTACTCCGAGTAAAGATACGCCCGATTTGGATTTGCACATATAGGACAAATGCCCCAATACCACGTCCTTTTGCTACGGCTTCCTTTTTTTTTTTTTCAATTTATTTCATGTCTTACAACAAATATTCACCGCATTCATCATATTACTCGATTGATTAACAGTTTGAGATCACTTCTATTTATAAAGAAATAGAATATGATATAAATAGTAATCATAAATATATTTATTACCCATTGGTTTTTTTTCTAAACGGAGCCTGGATACTTCATTTTATTGGCCTAACCAAGCCAACCATAAATTATTCTAATTGATAATATTAATCTGTATACCCTCCCGAAAAAATAGATGCACTTCACGCTCCAAATTTTTGATAATTCAATCAATCTTTCTTGGGCGAAAGGGAGGATATCTCGATCGGGGAAGAGAACGGGGAAATACCATATGACCCAATATATCTGACAAGTCGCACTATACGTCAATCCACAATGCATCTTCCTCTCCGGGACTTCGAAAAGGTACTCTCGGAACACCAATAGGCATTAAATAAAAGAAAATTAAGTACTATATCTCACTTTGATGTGAAAGCGTAACAATGGGTTTATTGTCCTAATAATATTGGCCTTTTATCATATTTTATCCATAGATTGATAAAGTTCATAAAAAAAGATAAAGAAGACAAAATGAATAAAGGAAAATTCTTACAAATAAGTCCTTTGGATGATGAACAAATATATATATATGCATTCACTCATATAAAATGGTATCAACTCCCCTACCATTGCGTATTGGTACTTATCGGGTGTAGAATAGATCTGCTTCTTTTTGTTCCTACGAACAAAATAGTTTCATTATTACTAAAAGTAATTATTACGAAAAGAATCAAACAAATATTAATCCTTTCCCCAAGATAATCCACGGTCCACAGCATATTTTTTTCCAATGCAATAAAGTTACATTGTGTCTATTTTTCGTTGATAAAGGGGGTATTTCCATGGGTTTGCCTTGGTATCGTGTTCATACCGTTGTATTGAATGATCCCGGCCGTTTGATTGCTGTCCATATAATGCATACGGCTCTGGTTGCTGGTTGGGCCGGTTCGATGGCTCTATACGAATTAGCAGTTTTTGATCCTTCTGATCCTGTTCTTGATCCAATGTGGAGACAGGGTATGTTCGTTATACCTTTCATGACTCGTTTAGGAATAACCAATTCATGGGGCGGTTGGAGTATCACAGGGGGTACTGTAACGAATCCAGGTATTTGGAGTTACGAAGGTGTGGCCGGAGCACATATTGTGTTTTCTGGCTTGTGCTTTTTGGCAGCTATCTGGCATTGGGTGTATTGGGATCTAGAAATATTTACTGATGAACGTACAGGAAAACCCTCTTTGGATTTGCCTAAGATCTTTGGAATTCATTTATTTCTATCCGGGGTGGCTTGCTTTGGTTTTGGTGCATTTCATGTAA